ATCCCCACAGCGCACAGCGGCCTCACCTCCCCTCCAGCGCCGCCCGTCCCACCGCTTCCCCCCGGGCCTCATCCTGCTCCATCCGCCCCAGAGGGCCTCATCCTGCCTCACCCCTCCCAAAAAAACCACCGTGCAGAGCCCATCCCGACCCCAAGAACCGCCCCGCAGCGTGGGCCCCAAACCAACCTCCCCAAACCCCCCCGCGTCTGAAAGCAGAGCCAAAGAAAACGGCCCCCGATTTGAGTGCAAAAAATAAATATAAAATTTATTAAAACACCCACAATATTTTAAAGATATCAGGAATAATACATTTTGCAGCCAGGTGGGCCGCGTGTAACTTAGAATAAAATACAAATTAAAAAAAAATCATGGGGGAGGAAAAAGGGGGAGGGGGAGGGGGGTCCATACTTGCGATTTTTAGGCATCCTAAAAAATAAATTTACCAAAACACTGAAGGGAGGAGGTGGGGGGAGGAAAAGGGTTTGAAGAAACGAGAAACACACAAAAGAGGAGAAAGAAAAGGGAAAATTATACAAAATAAAATTATCGGCATAAATTTACTGTCCTAGGAGTTATCTACAGTTTAATACACATTAATCCTATTGCCTTGAGACATGGGAAAAATCTACCGCTCCTCGATCCGCCCCGGAAAAACAAAAAAAAAACAAAAAAACTTCATTTCAAGTAACCACAGCCCCGAGCCGGCCAAGGAATCTTCAAGTGTGTCCCTGGGGGGACCCCCTGCCGCCTCCACTCCGTCCTCCGAACCCCACCAAACCCCACAGCAACGCAATCCCAAACCCTCCTGCCATCGAATCCCGAGCGCTGAACCCCACAGAAATGGCGCTTTTTATTTCGTTTTAATTTGTCGTTGGTTTTTGTTTCGTTTTTCTTGTTTGTTTCGTCTACTCGTTTCCTTTTCCTTCCCATTCTCTGCGCCGCGGTGCAAAACCCCACCGGCGAAACGCTCCCAGAATAAAACAAGGCTGAAACTACGGCAGTTTGTAATCCCTGAAGGATGCGAAAATGAGGAAAAGCCCGGGCGGAAAGGGTCAATGAAAGGAAAAAAATAAAAGTAGGAACTAACACCGCTGCGAAAGGATCCCTGATTTCGGAAAGATTCGCCCCGGTTTCACTGCCTTCGCTGCCGCGGCGCTGCAGGGTGTGGGGTTGAGGTATTTGCCTGGTTTGGGGCACGGGGGGCTGCTGCCCCCTCAGCTCACGGGAACCCAAAGGGAAGAAGTAGCACCAATGAAACCCAAAAAAAATGGAAAGGAGAGCAGGGAGGTGGAAAGGGAATGAAGAGATGCAAGAAGCGTGAAGCCCAGCTATCCCCTGCCACAGCTCCCCGCAGCCAAAGCCCACTGTTCCAGGGAGGGAAAGGAGCTCCGCGGCCAGGAGGTGCCAGCACCGTGTTTGGGTGCACCGGATCCAAGCACCACAGCCGTGCTCGGGGGGTGAGCATCAGGTCCTCGTGTCGTGCCAAGCACCCCAGGACCAAGCACCGGTGGGAGAGCGCCGTGCCCCTGCACCACATCCACACCCCACGTCTGAGCACCACGTCCAAGCACAGTGTTGGTGAACGGTGGGCGAGCACCACGCCTGAGCAACTGTTCCTGAGCACCACGTCCACGCACTGCGCCCAAGCACTGTGTCCATGAACCTTGTTCAAAGCACCGTGACTGCGGACATCGTCTGAGCACCGCGCTCGGTGCCTGAGCACCATCTGAGCGAGCACCAGCTCTGAGCACCACAGCTGAGCACCACGTTCCCCTCCCTGGCTGAGCACCACATCCAAGCACCACGTTCACACACACGGCGGCCGAGCACCGCATCCATAGCACCGCTGAGCGCCGAGCACCGAATACCGCGCTCACACCTCCGGCTGAGCACCGAGTCCATGCACCGCTGCTGGGCACCAACACGCAACCAAGCACCGTGTTCACACACCTGGCTGAGCACCGCAGCCAAGCACCGAGGCCACGCACAGTGGCCGAGCACCGCGACCAAGCGCCACAAGCAAGCACCGTGTCCGCAGCGCGGGGCCGAGCACCGTGCCCGAGCACCATGGCCACACGCTGGGGCTGAGGAGCACATCTGAGCACCGCGTCTGCCCACCCTTGGTTCCTGGAGGGGAACGAAGCTGCCGCAAACCAAAGGTGCCCACAACGCTTCAGTGTGGCACCGGTTTCTGTTTGCATAAGAACAAGATGCTCCCGGCACGCTTTGAGCTGTCGCTCCGGAAAAGTAAACTTCCTTCTCAACGACATCATTGCTTTTTTTTAATTTTTTTTTTCTTGGTTCTCTAGTTTCGTATATACATTAGTAGCACCTCGGCAAGATGGAATCAGGCAGAAGCATGATACAGTTTGTTAAAACACCATAGCACCATTTTGATTAGAAGATTTCATTTAATAAAAATATGCCTTAAAGAGCCCACAAAGCATATTCCAGTACTAAAAGGAAAAGTTAGCAATTGAGGCACCTCAGGGATTCTGGTTTCCTTCTCCTTCCTGAGCCTCGTCCCAAGAGTGCCAAGAGGAGGAGCGGCCCCCGGCCAGCACCGAGGTACCCACCATGGCCGGGAACACTGCAGTGAGCATGGAGACCTCCCCCGCTTCCCATCGCGGGTGTTGTTCTAGCACCAGTGTGGCTGCGACCTGCTGCAAAGTGTCTTCCCCCCCCCCCCCCCCCCCGCCCCGCCCCCTATGCGATTAAAAACGCCGCCCCCAGCGCACCCCACTGCCCACCCCGCACCAGGACGTCCCCGCAGTGCTTCCACCCCATGGCTTCTGCGCAGGTGGGACAAGCGCGGGTGCTGGTAAAGATAAAGAAAAAGATTTTGCTTAAAACAGACTCTCAGCAGCAAGGGGTTAAAGAGCTGTGCATAGTTTTCTAGTTTTCATATAAGAAGTCTGAAGCATGCTAATTTTCAATGACTGAGATTTGAGGTAGGTTATACGTAATGTAGTGTAAAAACGTGAGACTGCAGCAGTTCTCGCCCTGACCCACACATCACTGCCCCCCCCCCCCAGACCAGTTTGAGCCTCCCTTCAAGGCAGGGGGGGACGCCGCACAGGAGCGAGCCCCCAAACCAGACACCTCCAAGGAAGCAGGACTTAGACAGGTTGCACGGACCGAAACATTCTCCAAACGCGCCCCTTTCTCCCAAATTTCTTGCTAACATCATCTACGCAAAGCTTTCAAGGCACCCCTGCGACAACCTACAGCACGGAAGTCAGACAAGACCTGGGCGAAGCAAACCAAGGCCGGCACCCGAATCCGACCTCTTTCATTCTTAGACCTCCAAACAGCACTGCAGCTGCACCACAGCTGAGCCCCATGGCTGAGACCCGTGGCCAAACACTACAGCCAAGGCCTATAGCCAAGCTCCATGGCCAAGCTCCATGGTCAAGACTCACAGCTAAAACCACGACCAAGCCCCATGGCCAAGCTCCATGGTCAAGATCTATGTCCAAGCTCCACGGTCAAGACTTACACCCAAGATCTATGGCCAAATGCTACGGCCAAGACCCATGGCTGAACTCCATGATCAAAACCACGGCCATGACCGATGGCCAAGACCAACAGCTGAACGCCATGGCCAATACCCATAGCCAAGCCCTGAGGCACGCAGCCCCAGGACACCCGCAGGCCAACCTAAGGTCTGACTTGCCATGAACTCTACAATCCTGATATGCTATTGGGTACTTATAAGAAAAGCGATAATAGCTCATTGAATTTCCTTGTCAAATATATGCGACTTTACAGATTACAGTTAAAAAAAAACAAATTATGAAGGACGGACAAAGCATGTTAAATATTCTGCCAGTATTTACAGTTCTCCCACCATAACTGTGTCTAAAACATACTGCTTTCAAGTTGTCGGGAGGGGGGAGAGGGTGTTTGTTTTTTTTGTTTTTTTTTTTTTTGCTTTTTTTTTTTTTTAAGTTTCGCTTTCATTTTTAAATCTAGGTGAAAGTGCTTTTTAAAAAAATTCTTTCCCTATGTACAGGTTTTAAAATCAGACTGACTACACAAAGGTTCAGGCTGTTCTACCGAGATCCTGCTGAGCTGCGCCGGTGCGTGGGGTTGCAGTAAACGCACGCAGTGACTTCAGCACGGTGACGGCGCCGGCTCTCGCTCGCGTGCTCCCCAAAAGGCACCTGGAAGTGCAAAGCGACGGCGCTGCCCCGTCCCGCACCCAGCGCCCAGCATGGCTCGAGGGTGGCAGCCTCAGCTGAGGTTGTTGGGAAAGCACCACGCAGTGTTGTTGGATGGTGGGTGGGTGGGTTGGTGGGTGGGTGGGTTGGAAAGGTTGTTGGTCGGTGGGTCGGTTGGTTGGTTTTCTTTTACTGTGGGAAGAACAGCAACCTGTAGGAAGGTGAGATGATGGCACCTGGGGAGAGAAAAACACGGAGCGCGCCGCCGCGCCGACTCACCCATCGGACTGAGAGTGTGGGGAGACGAGTCCCAGAGTGTGGGTTTGCTCCTCCCAGAGCCGCTCGTACGGCCAAAGTCCCCCAGAGACTGAAAGCACCAGACTTCAGCAACAGTGATGTACAGAGAGCAACACTAGCTATTCACAGTTTTGTGTTGTTTTTGTGGGTTTGTGTTTTTTCTTTTTCCTATTTACGTGTTTGATTCCTGTTGGGTTTCTCGGAGACGCAGCCGAGCTGCTCCTCTTCTCCTTAGGGCAACGGAGCCCCAAACGAGCGCAGAGCCCCGGACCCAAGCATGGAGCTCCGGGAGCAGCACCCTCCACACGATGCCCTGAGGTCTCCACCCATGGGGATGGACTCCTCCAGTTGTAAAACAGCCACTGTGGGTCCTTGGGAACCAACAATTAAAAAAACTGGATGTTCGGTGCATCCGGCTGACGTTAGAGCACTCGTTTCCAGGTGGCTCTGTGAGGCCGCCCCTGATCCGCGCCGCCTGCACGGCACTGCGGAGATCCACCTCTGCCTTTATACGCTGGTTTGGTGTTCGGGTTGTTTCTCATTTTTTTCCTTTTTTTCTAATTTATCCATGTATTTTTTTCCTCGATGTTCGCTTCGTTTTTTGAAGGTCGGCTTCGTCATTCTCGTCAGATTAAAAAATAATAATAATAATCCAATAAATACGCGGTTTTAAGTGGAATTAAAAACCTCTCCTTTGCGAAAGGACGCTATAAACTTCTCTCTCCATTCTTGCAGTGCACAAGGATAGATTAAAAAAACACAGAGATATAAATATTAGGTTACCGAAAAACGTCAAAGAGCATTGTTCCTTTCCTATTTTCCTACTCTTTGCCAAGTGCAGCTCGCACCCGCGTCGGTTCCGTTGTTTCCAAGCGTAACGTTGGTTTATTTTGCTTTCTTTTTTTCTTTTTTTTCCTGCTTTTTTTTTTTTTTTTTTTTCTCTTTTTTTTTTTTCTTCTCCCCCATGCCCGAGGAGAAAGCACCACAAAGCAGCACCGGGACTCCAGTGCTGCCGACTTTGAGGTAAGAAGGGCTGCGGCGGCCGCCTCCGCCTCAGACCCAGCGGCTGTAGGGCCCCGTCACCTTGGTGTACGCGTAGGAGGACACAGTGATGGCAGAGTTGGTGGGGATGGCCACCGCCTGCCGCGTGGGGACCGCGTTCCTCCGCTCCTTGGTGGCCGCCTCGGCCGCCAGCGCGCCGCCCCACTTGCGCTTCTTGGCGAAGGCCTTGGCGTCCTGCTGCAGCCCCAGGCGCGCCGCCTCCTCCTGCCGTGCGCGGGCGCGCTCCGCCAGCTGCTTCATCTTGGCCTCCCACAGCGCCAGGCCGTGGTTGGGCTGGTTCAAGTTCTTGTGTTGGTAGAAGACCAGGGAGATGCGGGTGGGGTGGCAGCGGTTGGGTTTCTTCAGCGGGGTGGTGGCGTGCAGCTCGCGGCGGGCGCACTCGATGAGGATGGAGCCGTGCGCGGGCGCCACAGCCACGCCGCCGATGTTCTCGTCCAGGAAGTTGTGCTCGCTGTCCGACCACTCCTCCTCTTCCTCTTCTTCCTCCTCCTCCTCTTCCTCCTTCACCGCCTTCACCGACGCCTCCTCGACGCCCTCCTCCAGCCCAAAAGGATCCCACGGCTTCTCCTGACGGACCCCCACTGCCCCCTTCTCACGCACCGCTGCCTCCCACGGCTTTTCAGGCAGCCCCGCCGTGGGTGCCGGCGTCCTCCGCTCCTCCGCCTTGCCAGAACCCCACGGCTCTTCAGAGAAGACAGGCAGCTCCGGCAGGGCCGAGCCGAAGCCCAGCGGTCCCAATTCCCAGCCCTTGTCCCGCAGGGTCGGGGTACCCGCACCGCCCAGCACCGTCTCCCCCAGCTTGCAAGGGCTCCACGGCTTCGGCAGCAAGCTGGAACTGCACGACGACGACGTTTCTTCTGCCAGGACATTGGGCCACTGCTTCTCCGGCAGCGGCAGGCGCACGGCAGCATCGAAGGCGCTCAGCTTCTCCCGTCCTCCGGCGCCTGGCACCAGGCTGCTCCACGAGCTCTCAGCCGCACTAGTCCGCTCGGGGGAAGACGAACCTCGGGACGACGTTTTGTAAGGACTCCACTGCTGCTCCGGTACGGGGACAGCAGGTAGAGCCAGGCCGGTGCCGGGCACGGCTGCCGCGGGGTTGCTCAGGGGCTCGATGCTGGGCGGAGGGTCCGGGGGCTCCTGCTTGATGGCCCTGCTGCCAAAACAGTTCTGTGCAAACGGCGATGCCTCCTCCGAGCCTGTGCTAGTCCTGTGCACCCCGGCCGCAGCCGTCTTCTGTTGGCTGGCATAGCGGCTGGCCCGCTCGTAGGTGCGCTGGTGATGGTTTTTGCTCCGGACGCTGTGTGGGATGGGCTCAGGGAAATCCGTGTTCCTGTAGGTATGGTTGAGGTTCTCCTGCAGCACCTGAATGTTGGGCTTCTTCTCGTAGCTGTTGCTCACCCAGCTCTCGCCCCTCTCAGGCACCCCGTAATTCAGAAACTGCGAGGGGAACACATGGTTGTTGGAAAAACCGTAATACCCAAAGGAGGGCAGCGTGAACTTGGAATGAAACCCGTTCACGGAAGGCAGATTGGGCTGTGCATAGTAGGAATGGTAAGAGTAAACACTGTTCATGCTGTAAGGATCGGAGGGCCGGCAGCTGCCCAGCACCGAGTAGCTCTCCACCACCGCATTGCCGTTGTACTTGAAGGCGTTGTAATGGCTCTGCGGCTCCACTTTGATGGAAGGTTTCAGCGGCTGTGGGGAGAGCCCACTTTTCAACGCCATACCTGTGGGCACAGCACACACAACCACCATGACCAGCTGGCCGAGGAGACACCAGAAGGAACTGAGGATCCAAAAAAGCCAGTCAGCCTCAAAAATCCAACAGCAACAGGACCGCTGGCTGAGTCAGAGCCTGGCTGTGACCGGCATTACCCCATGCGCTGGCAGCAATTTGCACCCACATGCTGAGCTTCAGCAAAAGCATGGGCACCACAAAAACCACAGTGCAAAGCCAGACCCCACAGCATAAGCTGGTAATGCCAACTTACACGCAGCACTGCTGGTGCAGTGCTCAAGAAAGCCCCCAACCATTACACCTCCCAGAGCCACAAGGGAACATCCTCATCCCCTCACTGCTTTCTGGATAGCTTGGGGCTGTGCGATCTCAGCACTGTCCCCATTACCTGCATTTTGTTGGAGTGTAGGAAGTTCGAGCGCTTCCTGCTTGATCTTCTCTGGTGTCATCAGCTTCTCCTTCTGCAGTTTCTTCTTCTCCGCTGCGGCTTTCTTTGCCTCCAGCTGTCTCTGCCGACAGGACTTGGCGGGTTCAGGCAGCTTACGCACCTCGCGGGGGAAGGATGTGAGCACCTGGATGGCCCCGCTGCCCACTTTCGCGTTTTGGTTCTCCTCGCTGCCAAACTCATCCGTGCTGGACATCTTGTAGAGGGGGAGGACGTGCAGCTGCTCATCTTCGGGAATCTTCCCCACCACGCGATTGTCTTCCTTTGTCAGCGTGCAGACCTGGAGGAGTGCAGGAGGCCATGAGGGGACGGGGCTGCCAAGCTCTAGAGATGCTGACAAATGCAGCCCAAGGGGGACAATGGTGACAGCCCTGACTCAACACCAGTCCACACCCCAGGCTTGCAGCAGTGTGCATCCCCCAGCCCTCTCTGCTCCCCTGCTGCTGTCTGGAAACTTCCCACGGGGTTTGGGTCAGACAACAGCAAACGTGCAGTTCCCATTGGTGCCTTGCTTACATCTGGTGGGGACAGCTTCAGCACCTTGCAGACATGAATGCTTCAATTTGAAGGACTGAAGCATTGAAAAGCAAATTGCTCCGTGAGTGCAAGCACAGAGTATCAGCCACCAATCTGGGGTGACAGTGACTCAGATATCTCTGCCTCAAAATGCTCCCTACGGGATCAGCTGGACACCACGCAGCTCAAAAAGGCACCAGCAGCCAAAGGGAAACCATCCCAAAAAGCCTCACCAGTGCCTACGTACCACTGTGCAGCCATTGTAGAGGTTATGCTGATCTTTGTGAGCATGAGCACAGAAGTCCATGCATGCTGTCACCCCTGAAAATGGCCTCCCCTCCTTCAAGCCCAGCCGGCAGTCTATTGCGATATCCTCGTTGGTAACCTAGCAGAACAAGAAGGCTCTGGTTACCAGAAATCTGCATGCTGCCACCCGGCTCCCATTCTGCTGGCCACCAGGCTGCAGAGCCCAGCAGAAGGTGGGTGGTTGGGTACCTGATTCTGGTAGGCCTGTGGTGCCAGCCTCTTGTAAAGCGGAGCAACCTCAGTGGCCAAGTCCTGAAAGCTTTTCCGGAGCAGCTCTTCCTGCAATAGAGAAAACTGGGTGTTTGTACACAAGAGGACATCACCCAAGGGTTTTGGCAGCAGGGATGCAGTCAGGGATGCAGCCCATGCACGTCACACTGCGTCCAACCTTGTCTGCCATAACACAAAGCACATAGCCTCAGTGTCTGGTGACATCTGGGCTACTCAACCCCCAGCCTCAGTCTACTGTGCTTCTAACAGCACAACACAAGAGTTCTCCTGCACCTCTCTGGGGTTTCTAGGGAGGCCCCATTTGTCAAACCTGGCAGCAATGCCCTGAGATATCAGTGAGAGCCTTACCAGGTCAGGTCATCGTTTTTTCTCCCCAGTTCACCAAAACTACTATAAGGGACCCTATTTTCAGACTTCCTCCTCCCAAAACTTGAGTCAGGGCTAAAAGGAAACCCCTCCCCTCTCTCCCCAGTACTATCATGCCACTCACCTCCTTGGGATTGTCCCCCACCAGCCTGAACTTCCGTGGAGTTTTGCTTCGGGCATATTTGCAGCCATTAAAATACATGCTCCAAGAGCAGCCGAAGGAGAAGGAAGCGCCGCAGGTGTTGGGGTCCTTGCCTTGGCACGCACAAGTCCGGCTGCAGGAGGGACAGCGAGGAGGAGCATCAGTCACCACTGCACTGACAGCATCCCCCTCCCCATGGGTTGCAGGGCTGACAGCTGCCCCGCTGAGTGAGAAACATGGGAGGACGCCTGTGTCCCCTTCTGACCCACATCCCCAAGCCGGTGCGGTGACCCACTGACACTTACTCGTCATTCAAGCCGCAGCGGCGGCTGGTGGGGTTGCCGTACTTGGTGAGGGTGTCAGTGAGCTCCTGGTACAGCGTGTCGCCCAGTGTGCGGGGGATGCCCTCCCAGGCCAGGATCAGGATGATGATGACAGCATTCTGGCAGTGGTGGCCAGCTCGGTGACGCACCAGGCATAGCAGCTTCTCCTCTTGGTTGTGTCTCCGGATCACCTGTCAAACAGCCGGGTCCAGTTGGCACACAGGTCTCCACCAGTGGGTGCTGGCTGCCTCTGCACCGTCCCACAGCAACACAGAGAAGAGAGCCGCAGGAACAACCCTGGATATGTTGTTCCCCGTGGTCTTTGGGGTACCAGAGTGACCTCAAGGCACTTGGTGGATGTCACTGGGTGAGCACTTTGGGTGCTGCGTCAATGGTTGGATTAGAGGGTCTTAGCAGTCTTTCCCAATCTTATTGATTTTATGATTCTATGGTTCTATGAGTGTGGGAAGCCCTGCAGAGGTTCCTTGGAGTGGCTGCCACTTTTGCTTTGCCCTTCACTGCTACATCTTGAGCATCCTGTCCTGGTCTCCACAGCTACCAACAGTGGGGATCTCCCTGTCCCCAAGCAGAGAGGGGACAGACAGCAGCATTACGCTGAGAATGGCAGAGGTGGGACAGAAGCCCTGAGCCCGGGGCTCTTTCGCTCCCCCTAACCCACGTTTGACTGAATGGCACTGATGGAGAGCGATGTACAGCCCCGGGGACTCCTGGGGCCACTTCTGCACTGCTGGTGCCCCAAAGGGTCTGGGGGCTGCAGGCACTCACTCACCCACTTGGCGATGGGGCAGCCCCGGGAGCTCTTCCCCTCCTTCCCAGTGTAGATGACCTTCTCGATGCGGATGGCTTTGCCCTTCTCGCCGTACCTGTGGGCAGACCCACATCACTCACTAGTGTCCTGCTGAGGCCTCACGCCACTCACCTCCCCCCTCTGCCCTCTGAAGACCCCAAGCCCCTCTCCGACAGCCCATGGCCCGGCCCGATGTCGGGGTCCTGCAAGGGGTTGGGGTGGGGTCCCTTACCGCTCCTCCATCAGCTCCCGGATGGATGCCACGGTGGGCCCCGAGCCCAGGTGGGTGTAGTACGGCCCCTCGTCCTTCTCCACGATTTGCTCTGCAGGAAAAGGCGTGGGGGGGGGGGGAGGAACAGAGATGTCAGGGTGTTCTCTGGGAACCACATCCCCCAGATGTCAAATTCCCTCAAATGAAGCACTTTTGCATGAAAAATCAGGCACCTCCTCACTGACAGAGCACAAGCCTCAATCCTGACTGCACTATTTTGGCACTGAGTGTTTTAGGGCTGAGAGAGTTTTGCTCTGGGTTTACAGCTCCTGACAGCACTGGGGGAAACTGGGAGATCTATGGGAACAGAGAGGTCATAGGGGGAAGCAAAGGGCAGTGCAGGGGTAGGACCCACAGAATAGGGTCAGACGTGCCTCAGCCCATCCTCTGCTCCCAGCACTGATTTTCATTCACATCATGTTCAGCAGCTCTGCTGCAGCTTCCCAGGCAGGGATCAGTGCAGGATGCACAGCAACAGCCGACTGCATCGCAGCATCCAACAGCACAGGCACCTCATGGAGCACTGAGCCCCACCTCCCACTTAATTGCTTTCTCTTATGGCTTTTTCTTGAGAAAACAGAGCCCATGGGAGAAGGGCACGGTGGAAGGAGCCAGGCTGCAAATACTGTGCTGCAAAGTGTAACAAATCCAGCACAAAAACACGTGGATCAAGCGTTCACTCGCCACTGACCACCTGGCCATGAAAGCAAGAGGGAAGAAAGCCCAAACTTGCCTGCAGCCAACACAGCTGCAGGGTTTGGCCATAAAGACAAGTTCCACCAAAGCTGCAGAGCAGCCTCCGTGCCCCCCAGGTGTTGCTGGGGTGACGTTCCCAGCCCCACCAAAGGACCTCCCAGCATCACAGCACAGCCCCAGCACCAGGCATCACCCCCACACCCCCGTGCCCCCACTCACCCACACAGTCACAGGTGGGGAACTCGGCCTGCGCACGCTTGGCGGGGGTGTCCAGCAGGCTCTTGGTCGGCGTGTCCAGGTATTTGAGAGGCGACTCCAGGAACCCGCTGAGGGTGGGGGTCAGCGGCACCTCATCCTTGGTGGGCGTCCCCTCCGCCTCATCGGCATTCTGGCTCTCCTCAGAGTAAAAGCACGTGGTGGACACCACGGTGATAGCACCAGAGGACTCGATTTTGATCTGCTTGGGCGAGCGCACGGAGAAGAGGTGCTCTGGGGGAGGTCCCTTCTCCGGAGACAGCGCGGAGCCCCCAGGGCCAGCACTGCTGGGGGCCACAGCGGCGGTGCTGGCGGTGGTGGGGGGCACCTGCGGGGCTGGCAGCTGCCCCTCTGGCAGCGCGGTGGTCCCGGTGGGCGGCAGGCTGAAGGTGTCCCCGAACTCGGCCTCGAACTGCCGGATAAGCTCCTCCAGCTTGTCGTCCACCATGGCGGGCGGCGCTCCCTCCGGGCCCAGCGCCAGCGGGTGGCTGTGGGTGTCCCCCCCAGGGGTTCCCCTTTCCTGAGAGTCGGAAGCAGTGGGTGGGCATGGGGCGGGCGGTGGGGGCTGTGGCGCTGTGGCGGTGGGCTCGGCGGGGGTCCGCAGCCCCTCCAGGCTGATCTGCCAGAAGGGCAGGAAGAGCGGCTGTGAATCCTTCTGCTTGGGCTTCTTGATCTGCACCTGCTTGCGGGCTGGCTTGTCTGGCTGCATCCTTTTCTTCTTCTCCTTGGCCTGCTTCTCAAAGGTCTTGGGCGTGCTGGGGGTCCACCAGCCAGGTGGGCGCTCCGGGGGAGTCGCGGAGAGGCTCTGCTCGAGGAAAAGGCTGCGCTTGTGGTGCAGGTGCTGCTGCAGGACCATCTGTGTCTTCCTGTGCAGGTCGGGCTCCTGCAGCACGTGGGGGCTGCTTGCCGTCTCCTTGCCCGGCGTCCGATCCGGGGGCTTTGGGGCTGCTGCAGGGGGGGCTCTGCCAGCCTCGGGCCGCTTGAAGGCCACAGCGATGTATTCGGTGCTGCCCAGGAGCTGCTCCAGCTCCGCCATAGGGTCAGTGGTCCCAGACGGAGGCACCACGTCGATGGATGGCTCTGGGGGGGCAGGAGGCACCGGGGGGGGGCGGCGGCGGTGGCGGAGGGGGAGGTGGCCCATCAGCACCAGGTTGAGGGAGCGTGGCTGAGAGCTGCGTCAGCGCCTCGATGGCGATGGCCGTCTGCAGGCTGATGTTCTTCTCCTTGGCAATATTCAGTGCACTTTGGGAAAAGGGGAGGCCGTCCGACGGGCACGGCTCGGTGGCCTCCAGCACCGCGGGGGGAGCGATAGCACCTTTGTCGGGGGGCGGCGGGGCGTGGGGCAGCGGGGCCTCTCCCAGGGCCACCTGGATCTTCTGCTCCAGCCACTCCAGGTAGTCAGGGCACTCGGGGCCGTCGCAGTTGCAGTTGGGGGGCTTCATGCCGTGTTTGGCCAGGGCGAGGGCGGCCTTGAGGGCGTGCAGGTCCTCCCCCCTTGGCACGCCGTCCCGCGGCACCAGCCCCCCCCGGCTCATCTCGGTGTCAAACTTCTTGTAGAGTAGCGAGGGCGAAGCCGGGGCGGGCAGCCGGTAGGAGGACACCGCTTCAGCCACCGCCGAGAAGGCCACCAGGTTGCGGGCGTCCTCCAGACGTGCGGGGCCGGCAGGGGGGCCGGGCAGCCACCCGCTGGGCTCCATCAGCGCGCTGCCCCCCGCCTGCGGCCGGCCCCCAGCGGCCAGGCCCAGCCGGCCGCCCTCGCTCAGCGTCCTCTCGCCGCCATAGTCGATCAGCCCTTCTTCCATTGGGCCTCTTCTGGGGCCATCAACCGGATCGCCCCCCGGACCTGTCTGAGAGCGGGGAGAGATGAGAGGTGTGAGTAACCCCTGCAAAATCATGCACCCCGTATCCCACCCCACAGCCTACCACCCCCCCGTCCATCCCAGCACAGCTGCAGGTGCCCCTGTGCTCCTCCCGTCCCCACGTCCCAAAGGCCCACAAAGAGCTGTGCTCTCTGGGACCTCAGCTCAGCACCGCAGCGATGGGACACTGAGCAAGGAGTGGGGCAGAAAGGAGAGAAGGGGGTCTGGAGCCCATCGTCCTAGTGGGTGCATGAGATGGGGTGGAAGGGGAGATGGCATCTCTGTGCCCATGGGTGGGAGTCTCAGTGCCACACAGGATGGGATGCAGAGCATTTTGTGGTTTGTCACTAATAGGAGAGCCCCATGCGGGGCCAGGGGATGCCTTCACCCCTTTCCAGGGCTGCATACAAGCAGGGAGAGAGGGAACAACAGGCAGAGCAAAACCCCCGTGGAAGCAGAGAGGAGCATCTCGAGTCCTCCTCACCTCAAACATCCCCCCGGGGGGAAAAGGAGGGGCGAACCCCATTGGCAGCGACCCTGTCTGCCCTTCCCACGGCCCCTCCGCAGTGGGGAGGAAAGGGATCCCCCACTACCCGCCCCCCCACGCAGGAACTCCCGCACGCGTGGCCAGGTCCCGGTTGGAGGCTTCCCCACGAGGGCCGCCCCTGCGGTTCATCCGACCGAGGGGGGAGGGGGGGAAAAACACGCGGGGCTGCACGCGGCCTCCCGTATCGCTCCTTTTGTTCCCGGCACCGCCGCGGGGGGGGAGGGGGGGAGGGTTAGAAGAGGGGGGGGCGCGGGATTCCATCCCGAAACCAACAGCGATTCCCCCCCAGCGCCGCCGCGAGGAACCCACCCGTGCGCACCCACCGCCCGGGGGGGGGAACCGGAACGCTGCGGTGCGGAGCGGCCCCGTCCGCGCGTCGTGAAGAGGGGAAAATCCCTCCGAGGAACTAAAAATGATCTCCACTTCATTTATTTATTATTATTTCCCCCCCTGCCCCCCTTCCCTCTTTCTGTTTTCAATGCTTTGGGCGGAAGGAAAACAAAAAAGGCCGCGGCACGCACCGACCCCGCCGGGAACCCCCGGCCCGCGCCGCGCTCCTCCGCAGCCACCGGGACCGGCGCGGCCGCGGCGCGGCACTTACGCTGCGGGGGAGCGGCGGCGGCGGCGCGGAGGGACGGAGGCGCCCGCGGAGGGACGGAGGCGCCCGCGCTGCTCCGCGCCGCACCGCGCCCGGCCGCGGCTCCCCGCCCCCCGCGGCAGCTGCAGGAGCCATCAGCCCCGGCGCCGCGCGCACGTACGGGCGGGGAAGGAAGGGGTGGGGGGTGGTAGGGGGGACGGGGGGGGGGAACGTGAGCTCGGCCCCGCAGCCCCCGGACCGCACGGACGGCTCCCGAGAGCCGGCACGTGTCACGCGTACAGCCCGCAGCCTCAGCGCCCCGCGGCTCCGTGCGTCCCGTACATACCATAACTCATTGGATCCCATAAGCCATGCATCCCCCAGCCCCATACATCCATAGTCCGTGTATCCCATAACCCCTGCATCCCATAACCTGTACATCCCATAACCCGTACATCCCATAACCCCTGCATTCCATAACCCATACACCCCACAGCCCATCCATTCCCCAGCCCCATACATCCACAGTCCCTGCATCCCATAATCGCACAACCCTATGCATTCCATAACCAATACATCCCACAGTCCATGCATCCCACAGCCCCGTGAATCTCATAACCCATACATCCCAAAGCTCTGTGCATCCCACAGCCCATACATCCTGCAGCCCTGTATACCTCCCAGCCCTGTACAACCCACACCTCTGTACACCCCACAGCCCCGTGCATCCCACAACCCGTATCCCACAGCTCTGTAGATCCCTTTGCCCATACAACCCACAGCCCCATATATCCCACAGCCCTATAGATCCTGCAGCTCCACACACTGACACACAACACCATGCGATCCACAGCCCTACACGTCCAGCACTCCTACATCCCTTGCACCTCTGTATGCTCAGCAAATTACAACCAGCAACCATCAGCCGTCTGCAACCCTACAGAACTGTGTTACCTGCAACCCTACACAACCGGCAACCCTACAAACTCACACTAGTCTCATCCAGCAAGCGCCGCACCCAGCAGACCCACAGACCTGGCAAGCCATACAGGAACCCCCTACACAAACAGCAGGGACCTGCACCAACAGCAGCATCCCATGGTGAACAGGCATCCCCGGCTGCAGTGCCACAGCCACCACAAGGCCTTTTTCTTTTTTTTTCCCTCTCCCTCCCTATTTTTTATGTTACTGTGCCATATCTCCCCCTGGCCCTATATGAAACATGGAGCGAAGGCGCCCTGGAGAAGCAGGCAGCGTTCTGCTGTGCTCCTGCTTGTCCCAAACCACACATTTGGGAAACAACAACCTCAACACCAGGCAAAGGATTGGTCCTCATCCCCAGCACCCAAAGCCACCCAATGAGGCCCATCCAGCCCCATGAACAGGGGGATGAAGCAGCAATCCCTTATCTGGGTGCGTGGGGTATTTGTAAACCTCCCCCTACACACACGCATCTCAACTGATTTTGCAGGCGTTGGGCTTGGAGCAGCCGAGCACTTCATCCCACCACAAATCATTCCATTGCAAGGGCAGGATTTGGGAGATGGAGGTGCCCAGATGTGGCGATGCATAGCATGGGATTTTTTTGGGGGGGTAGTGGTGGGAGGGATGGATGCAGTGCTGGCGCAGCCAGGGCACGGCAGGGTGCTCGGGAGGTCAGCAGTGCTGCCAGCGCCAGCGGCTGGGGCCGGCCAAGAGGCAGGCGGCTGTTTGGCTGCCGGCCCCGTGCCGCGCTCGTGGTTTTCTTCCCCTGGCAGCAGCCCCGGGATCCTCCGTGCTCTGGGGCAACGTGGGGCCCCCGCGGGATGGGGAAGCCCAATGTGGACGAGCATCCCTGAGCACAGCCCAAAGGAAGGGCAGGCGGCCGGCAGCACGCCCTGGGGATGGATGTGCCGCTCAGCCACAGCGGGCACGGAAAGCCGCCCAATGCCACCAAGGTGCCGGCAGCGGGGGATGCTGGAGAGGAGCCCGGTGGCACGGATGCGACAGCCCTGGGAAAGCAAACTGGAGAGCTGTGGAGCCCCTCCCGACGCTCCCAGCCGCTCGCTTGTTTTCCAAGCTGTTTCCGTGGCCCCGGCTGACCCCAGCACTGGGTTTGAGCCGCTCGCTCCTGTCCTCATTTAGCCCGGCGGAAAGGCAGAGCTACGGCAGGGCTGTGTTGCAGGGAACCCATCCCTGCTTCCGTGGGCCTCTCAGGGACCCCCGGAGCCATAATCCTGCTCTGGATACCATAGGGGCAAGTATTTCATCCTCTTTTCCAAGCTGGTTTAATGACACATACTCACACTGCTCCTGCACCAGGAGCCTGCAATAGGGACAGGGAATTTTTCTCCACCAGAAAACATCTCCAACCCCATCCTCTCTGGTGGGGCTCCAGGAAAAGCATTTTCCCAGCCCAGCCAAGCTGCAAGCAATGGGAAAGCAGATCAAAGCAAGAGAAAAAGATGGGAAACCAAAGGTGTTTGGGAGCAGGATTGCCCAGCGGCAATGTGTGGAGCAAAGGGGAGCTGAGTGCCTGGATGCAGCTCCTCCAAAATCGCCCTGACCGAGAGCAGCTGCGCGCCGGCATCTGTTCTTAATCCACCCTGGATGCCTTTCAAAGCCGGGTTGGAACATTCATCCCCGCGCACGCAAGCGGCCCCTGAGGTCCCTCTCCAGCTGGGCAAAAGGAGGAACCTGCGGGGTGCAGCACTACGGGATGCTCAGCACCAGCACAGCCAGATCAGTTCCTCAGGAGCTGCGCAGGGCTGGCGTTCCCATCGCGGCACTGAGCCGGGAACCAGCATTTGGCAAGAGGAAGGGAGAACGGCTTGCCAGGCTGCGTCAGGCTGCTCCGACCGGCAGCGAGGGAGGGGAGAAAAGCTCTTTGAAGAAAAAAAAGAAAAGGGAAAAAAAAAACGTGGCGCTATTTTTGTTTCTTGGAGCAGCTTCAGTCCAACACAGCTGACTCCTCTCGTGCAGGCGCTCAGCTACCAGATTGGCGCTGCGGCCGGCCGGGCAATGCCAAAAGAACGGCTGTAGGCAAGCGGTGCTCCAGCAGAAAGGGGAGGGATGGAAAGGATAAAAAGGAGAGGAAGGGATAAAAAGGAGGCCAAGGGGAAAGGAGAAGAGAGGAAGGGGAAAGGAAAAGAAAGAACATAAGGTAAAGGAAAGAAGGGACGTGGACTCACCTGGGAAGGAAAAGCGCGTGGGCTGTGGCAGAAACGCCTGAGGCTGTGCTGAGCCTCTCCCTGTGCCGGCAGCACTTCGCCACCCACCCAAGTACCCATGTGGGGCCGAGCTGCGCTCTGCAGCCCCTCACACCCTGACGGCACTGCCTGCAGGGGGACAGGGCACAGTGCCCTCCAGCACGTCTCCCATCAACCCCAGTGGGAACTTCCCCCTCGCCCAGTTCCTCTGCCTCGCAAGCAGGGTGCAGAAATCCGGCCAGCCTTTAAGAATGGGTGGCCATGGCGCAAAGCTGCCCCACTCCCATCCCATAGGGGCTGTGAGCACTGCTGGGATCGAGCGTCCCATGTGGCACCATGGGTGCACGGCTCTGCAAAGCCCACCTGACGGCCCGCTGTACCTGGGGGATGCGCAGCCCCGGCCCCGCTCCTCGCTTCGTGAAACCCTTCAGCAGCCCGAGCTTTCAGCAGAGGAGGAGGAGGGACGTGCGTGCGGCAAGCACAAACACGTCGGCAGCACGATGGCTGGCGGGCAGGAGCAGGGAGA